TCTGGCCAGGCCCCCTGAGATCCTGACACAACCCCCCCAGTGCAGTCTGAAGATCCATCATTGCAACTGCTTCAGCCGCCCACCGCCTGGTTTGGGTCACATAACCATCTGCAGGCCCCAACCGAGACATTAACTCTTTTAGTGCATGGATGAAACCTACAAACATCAATTTTCTCTCTCAAGTGAAAGAAAAGGAAAGAGTGAAGATACAGGCAGAGCAACATTAGACATGAAGGTCAGTAAGAAGCCATGTCTTGGATGGGAGGGATTGAGGAGATGCCTCACTCCTGAGCTGAAATCTTCTTGTTAGTAGATATAATTGATACATACGACTCTTTTTCCCTGTAACTCATTGAAAAGTACAGGGGATGAAGTGTTCAAATTGAAGTTATTTGAGCAAAGGCATCTGTGCTAAAGCAAGCAGATGTTGAAGTAGCTGTGATCCCGTGAGAAGTTTTAACAGAGAGAGAGAGGAGTGATGAGGACCCTAATCTGTTTCCAGAAATCTGGGAACAGATTAGAGATTAATAAAGAGAAATTAATTAAATTATTAATTAATTAATTAAAGGTTCTCTTTATTAATCTCTGGAAAGAGATTAATAAAGAGAACCTTTGCTCTTGAACAGTTAATCCTTAGAATAGTACCCTGTAAGCTGACATGGCCCACGAGCACTGCTGTGGGAAGGCTGCAAGAGGTGGGAGGGGCTTCACGATTGCAGATTCCTGGGCAGCTGCTATTCATGAAAATTAAAAGCCGTGAGAGAACTGTTTTCTTGTAGGGAAGTCTCCATAGCATGACAAGAGAGACTCCTCTCCCTAAGTGAACTGATGAAAGAATATTCTAGAGTTGATAAACTGACTGAATTGTTTCTGTATGTTGTTAGTAGGAAAGAAAAGAGGGTGTGAGGGAAGGAGAAGTGTTCTAAAGGTTTTATTCTGATTCTTGTTATACTTTCTTTTAGTTACTTTTAATAAAATTTTCTTTATACCCTTTTAAAATTTTGAGCCTGCTTTTCCTTCCTTCTAATCCTATCTCACTGCAGGAAATGAGTAAATAATTCTAGAGGGTACATGGACATTTGGCCAGCACTGAACCCACACAGTAAGGCTGCCAAAACTGGAATTGCTCAGTTGGACCTAGACTGGGAGAGAAAGACTGAGCTATTTATAGCCCAATGAGCCCATGAAACATCAGGATATTTAGGAAGGGATGCAATATATAGGTGGGCTTGTGATCAAGGGGTGGACCTGACTATGGAAGCTGTCATATAGGGTATTCACAAATGTGAAATATGTGCTGCAATCAAGCAAGCTAAGGAGTAAAATCTCCTTGGAATTGAGGGTGGTAGCTGGGTTTCCAGTATGGTGAAGCTTGGCAAATTGACTACACTGGACCACTGCCACAAACATGCCAAGGCAAGAGCTACGTACTCACCATGGTAGAAGCCACAACTAGCTGGCCGGAAACATAAACTATAAACCATGCCCACTGCTCAAAACACTATCTTAGCCTTAAGAAACACATTTTCTGGTGACATAGTACCTCAGAGAATAAAATCAGACAATGGGACTCATTTTCAAAATAATTTTGTAAACTCTTGAGCAAAGAAACATGGCATTGAGAGGATATATCACATCCTTTATCACTCACAAGCCTCTGGAAAGACTGAGAGAAGGACTACTAAGACTATGTTAATGATGTTAACATAAACATTAGGATGCAAATTTAGCAGAAGCTTAAGCTGGTTAACAACAGCGGATCTGCTGATGTTCACCTGCTTCTGCCCAAATAAAACCCTTCCATACTGTGGGAGGAGTTAAGGTCCCCTCACTACACATGGAGAGGTGGCTGGGGAAGTTGGTGTGGATTTCTCCTTCCATGGGAATAAGCAAACCCATTTGTGGGATTGTTCTTTCCCAGGGACCAGGGTGTATTTGGTAGGTAGTGTGGAAGAGTTGGGAGACATGCTTTGTGACTCAAGGAAATTTAACCTTGTGGGGAAAATAATCTGTGGCATAAATTATGTGTTGGAGGAGGTAAAGTAGCAGGAATGACTTGAACTGATGAAGAATTAATTTTGTGAAGGGCAAGGAGGATGCAATGATGATTCAAGCCAGGCCGGTCTTGGTGACCAATGATAAAGTATGCTTCTTCTCCTGTCTTGACTACCCATCCTGATTGAATGGAGCCCAAGTCATGGATCTGGAGAAATGGAGGAAGCCCATGAAAAGGGAAAGTAATGTCAATCTGTGAAAGGACAGGGGTAGTAGTTAATGAAAGTGTATATTGGGTATAGAGATGGTTGAAGGATGTAGTTTAAGTTGTAAGTGTGGGTAAAAAGGGATTCCAGTAATGACAAACATAATGGAAGAATTGGAAGATATATAAATTATGTGGGATCTGAGTAGGACGCAAATGGTATGGAATAAGGGGTGGAAATTGTATTGGGACTGACAGAAATAGAGTTCATTTTCCCACAGCAGCCCTCACAGTGCTGTGCTTTGCATTGGTAGCCAGACAGGTACTGGTGGCACACCAGTGGTTTTGCTACTGCGCAGCATCACTGGCGCAGCATTGGCACTGTCTCTAACAGTGTCCTGGTAGGGGACACAACTATGCCAAAATAGCTGACCCAAATAAACCAAAGGGATATTCCATACCGTATGACATCAGCTCTGATACAAAAGCTATGGGAGAGAGGAGGAATGGGGGATGTTTGTTATGTTACCACTTTTGCCTTCTGGAGCAACCATTCCAGAAGTGTGTGCTGAAATCCTGCTTTCTGGGAAATGGCTGAATATTGCTTGCTGATGGGAAATAGATATTAATTGTTTTCTCTTTTGCTTATGCATGTGTAAACTTTTACTTTTCTTTTTTTTTAGTTATTTGCTTTTGTAAACTGCCTTATCTCAACTTACTAGTTGTTTTGCATCTTATTTTCTCTGCACTGTCCTGCTGTAAAGGAGATTGATAGAGCAACCTGGTGGGCATCTGGCATTTAGCCAAGGTCAACTCACTACACATGCACTGAAAATATTCACCAACTTCACTGGTAAAGGTAAACCTGAGTCATACATATTTCGTCATGTACTTGTTGTGACATACTTTACTGTAGAGGCAGTTGGTTGGGGGTCTGATGGCTCGACCTGGATGCCACAACCTTCTCAGAGAGAGGTCCTGCAAGAGACAGCTTTCTAGGAGTCTTAGGCGGTCCTTCAGCCGTCAGGTAACCTCAACAAGGGGCAGCTAGCTCAGCTCAGCTCTTAGCAGTGATTTCAGCTCTGCCTTGCGAGTAGTACCCTGGCCAACACAGGGACAAAGAGACAAGAGAGCCATGTGGTTGTTCCACAGAGGTAGCCTTTATTCCAGCACCCTGCGAAGGATGCCAGCAACAGCAGCTCTCTCCTGAACAGGGCAGAAACTGGGGGTTTTATGGGGAAAAGCAGGGAAAAACCAATCAGTCTCAACAAATCTACATGGGGTTCCAAAGCATGCTGGGAACTCACCATGACCAGGAGGATTTCTCAATCCATGAGGCTTTGAGAGGCTCTTATCATAAGCCATTCAAGGGATACCTCTCCAAGGGAGAGGTCTGGCATGCACATCTGTTTCCACACTTTACTGTGGATCTTATACTAGTGTTGTTACTTGAACTATTGATTGTTTATATTTTAAGTATTATCTCACTGATATAATAATAGGATAAAAACAAGTACACTTTCTAAGTAAGAGGTATCCCATTAATCATATAGTGGACCTCTTGTGCAATTTAATATGCAATTATTTATTGTAAGCTCATTGATTACATCTTGAGAGTATACATTCACGTATATTTGTGAATGGACTGCATTCTCATGAAAGATGTTGGGTCAGTCACAGTGGCAAATGGAGTCCAAACTAGTATGGTCCTCAGCTGTCTGTATAAGTGACTTAAAAAGATAACTAAATTCAGTCTGCCAGGCTAGATAATCTTCAGCCTCTCTGCTTAGTTCCCTAAGGGTTCAGCTGGCAGTGCTATTCCATCTATCCCAGAGTTATTAAGGTAAGCACACAGTGTCCAGTTCTATCTTTTTTTTTGGTAAAATATTCTACCAATACATATCTCTCTACAAATCCTGTAGCTAGCTGTGAAAGCAATTCTTGTTTGAATCATTGAGGTAAAGTATTTAAAAAGTCACATGATGCTCTTCTACCTTGCAGTAAGCATATGCCATGAGTAACGTTATTCCTTTTACTCAATTTTTACCTTCCTGCCGTGATTTTGAATCTTTAAAACCTCTCCTAACTGATTACCTAGGATTCAATTTAAAAAACAGATGTGAAAAGAAATTATTTGGAGCAAAAGCATCAACTATCCAACAATTTTACCTTTCAGTGGAGACAATTACTAGCCGGCATTGCACTTCCCTAGTGTTTCTCCTCTGAGATCTCTGCCCTCCATCCTGTTTGATGCATCTTTCAACACTGAGAGCCCTTAGGTGTAATTTTAATTCTAAAGTAAATTTATCTTTTCCTCCTTACAGACACAAGTCATGAGCAGATACAGGCAGAGGAAATTTTTGCTTTGCATTTCAGAGACTCTAGAATTGAATCCTGGCCCTTTCACCTTCTTCATCTATCCCATCAGCTCTGCACATGGGAATTTTCAGTGGTCAGTGTTATTCCAGGAAAGAAAAGCTGAACAAATTAGGTCAAGTGTCAGACAAAAAAAGGAATTTGAATCACTAGCTGATGTTTTACTACTCTGCGTTACCACTTCTAGTGCCGGGTATTGTATGAGTACCACACTGCACAAAACTAGATCTGATCTGAGATGGATTCCTTCTTGACAAAAATGGTAGGAAGCCCCTTCTGGTAAACCAACAGAATCCTTCAAACCCTGTGTAACTGAAATTTCTGCCATTCATGTCCAGTAATGCTTGCTGGGAATTATGAGATGCAGATAAGCAGATAAGCACTTGATGGCAGTTTAAATTCAAGTGTACAACTGAGAAAAATATTTATAAAGGTAAAAGATCTTTTTTAATGTGATGCCACTTTGAATGACCCATGATTATTTACATTGTATTATTGAAATATCACTGTAATCTAACTGTGGATTGTGTCTCCATCCTTTTCTTCATCTTCCATAATCACTGTTTGCTCTTCTTCTGTAAATAGCTTAGTGCCTTAAAAGAGAACACAAAAAACAAACAAACAAAAAAACAACAAATAAAAAAAAGGTGGAAAAGTGAGTTGATTTAATATACTACTTTCTAGAAAATATCAGGCAAAAGAGAATTTTTCAGTTCTCTCTTATTTCTTGATTTTAATGTCATCACACAAATTGCTCCTCATTTCTTTTTGGTCTTTTAGTCTCTTAATACTTACTGAACTAGAGTTGAATCACTGCATTTTTAGCAAAAATGATTAAGCATTCTTAAATCCAGTGTATTTTTGCTATCTGTAAAAAGAGACTGAAGTTTCATTTGGGAACCTGTTTGTTAGAAGGGTTTGGGTAGATAAATAAGGGAAAGAGTTTGCATGATGAAGCAAATACTGTAACTAATCTTTGTAATGGGAACAGCTTTTATGGACATGTGTATTTTCTCTATGTATATAGCATATTACTTAGATCTTGCAAGTGCAGGTGAAACAAGAGATGTTTAAATACCCACATGACAAGTGTCATCTCCACTGAAATGATAAAGCATCAATAAATTGCAAAAGCTACTAAATGAAGAACAATGTGAAGATAGACTTGGATTGTAGATCATACTTCCCACAAATCTGTCACTTCTCCTTTCTCTGTGTCTCTCTCTTTTTCTCTGTTAAACCAATAAGTCTGTCCTTTGAGGATCCAGAGGCTTTTATATAATACCAAGGTATAACAAATATTGTAACTGCTTTCCTCATTAAAAAATAAGCAAGAGTAATGTGAGAACAATGCATTAGGTGCAAAATATTTACCTATACTGCCCTTCATTTAAGTTAGCTCCTGCTTCATTTATATGCAGCTCTTGTGAACTAGCTAGTTTCAGCAGCACTATGAGATAAACTGAAAGGCACAAATTAATAACATTCATTTGACATTTCATGTCTTTCAGTTAATTTGAAACACAAAGGACTTCATTTGTTCAAGCAGCAATTAAGTAGCTCTTGTTGTTAACTGCAAAAAATGATGGCATTTTATGGAGATAGATGTAAATATTTCTTACACAGATTTCTATTCCTATAGGCAACCTAGGCAAAGATAGACAAGGTTTTCTTTCCCTGACGCCTTTGGGGTTTGGGTTGTGTGTGCTGCAAAGGAGAGTGGGGGTTATTTTTTGTTGGTTTTCAATGGGCCATTGAGGGGCAGGGAAAACATAATATGTGCTTAAAATGTACCTTCAAATATGTGATGAAATTCAATTTATGTGCATTTGCTATTGAGAGAATGACAGAAACTAATGTAATTTTCAGTTGTTTTCAGTTATACTTCCAATGACACCTTGTTGCCTACTGTTGAAGCTGCCTTTGAACACTTGGCATGGAATCAAAGCAGCCTGCTAAGATGCTGCCTCTCTGTACAGAGCTTTTCAGATCCTGTGTTCTGGATCTGTTTTCAAGTGATTAACTGCCTGTGGCAGACTGGTGCCTGTATCAGGCAAAATAACCTATGTATTTAAATGCCTGAATTCTATTCCCTTCCTATTCTAAGGATGCATATTTAATTTTCAAGATACATCCAACGTACATCATTCTGCCAGTTGAAGTTCACCAGTGATCGCTCCATGATTTGCTATGAAAAGCCTTTGTTTGAAGGCTGGCCCAATATTTGCTACTTATTTACTTTCAGATTTATTTCATCTGGTAGCTAAGAAAGAAGAAGAAAGAAACTAAGAAGAAGAAAGAAACAAAGAAACTAAGCTTTTATGGAACTGCTGTGCAAAACAGAACCTGAATTATAGGCTTGGAGACCTGAGAAGACCCAGCAGAACTATGTGAGCTAAGTAAATATAGACAAACCTTTCTGTCCTGTCTCCTTGTCATTAGTCTTGCTGTAGTAAGCAGCACTCAGTGCTACATGGTATTGATGCCTTGGAGTGGCTACCTAGAACAGAAGCTAAGAGTTAAGAGAATAAAGTGGGTATTTTTTAAAGGCCTTCAATAGCTACACCTTGGGCAGTGTAAAAGCCTCATGGGGGCTACACCCAAGATGGACAGAGGTCACAGGTTTTTCAAGCAGATAGAAGTTTTGTCTGTTTGCATATCAGGGGTTAATTCTCCAATTACAGCTTCAAGTAATGAAGCCATATTCCCTCAGCTTGCTCCTCCCCAATTCACTTTTGTTTATATACTTTTCAGGGCCTGAGGCTGTGGTGTGTCCTTGGATCACAGGCCCAGAGGGATTCTTTTGTCTAACTAAAATGTGAAGATACAGTTAACTACACTTTATATGCAGTTTAGAGCTATGCACTAATGTAGTGTAGGATTTGAAAAACGTAATAACTAAAATCTTAAGGCATCAGTATCTTTTGAGACCTGCTAATGAGGATTGCCACCATTTCTAATATTTCTCCTTCAGATCCCCTGCAAACCACTTCTAGATACCAATTCAAGAAACTCCACTTAATTCTAGTAAAAAGTCTTATTTAAGAGAGTAGTCTCTTGAACAGCTGTCCATACAAATGCTTTTCTGTAAATGCAGCAAAAATGGCAGATGTGTTATCCCTCTTTGTTTTGACCAGCACTCCTAGGACAGTCCCTCTCCCTTTTGGGTGGTCTGAGAGATTTTCTATCTCAAATAAAAGCAAGTCAAATGTACCATGTAAAATTAAGAAAATTAATGTATCTACTAGGTGGCATGTGGTCCAGATGAGAAGCAGAATCAGTTTTACACCTCGGGAGCACCCAATCCAATTGGGAAATGCAGTTAAAGAAAGGGGCCTACTAAGTTAGTTATCTGAAATCTCCTCTACAAGGGTCAGGCTTCTAAATATATTCAACCTTCAAACTTCTACTGAAGAGGCACAGTTAATGTTATGCCATATCCATACAAATGAGTCATGAGCAGATGTCTCCTTCAGCAGCAAGCTCTCCTTCAGTCAGCCAACACCTTGTCTTTCTGAAGGAATTAGACCAGAAGACAAAATATAGTCAGATTTCTAATGGTCATTTTTCCATATCACTTGACAGTAAATGGCTTGAATCTGATCCAAGCCTGTAGTCAGCTCTGGAACACTCTGTTGCCATCCCCACTTAGCATTATATAGTCCATTAACTAAATTAATGGTCTTCAGCCCTGTGGGTTTGAGCTAGAATGTAAATACATGTGTAAATACGGGAATACAGTTCCTGAAATGTGACTGAGGTTTCCTCATCAAATGAGAGATAACTTGTAAAATTAGTTTCAAATCCTCATTCTCTCTCATAGCCTAGAAAACCAGTTAAGGCAGCTCCTTTAGAAAAATACAACACCCCCATTGAAAATGTCTGGGTAAGAAGAATGGAAGTTTAACTATTCACCTCTTCCCTCTCCCAGCTCAGCTGCAGGCGTTGTCCCTAGGCAGTCTGTAGACATGTGCTATCTTGTTTCTCTGATTTGTAGCCCAAGAGGTATGGCTTAAATCTAGGTGGCACCTGACAAATAGATTATTTAAGACAACTTTTTCTGTCTAGTTTTTAGCTTTCTAACAGAAACACTCATGTTTCTGTGAGCCATAGTGGTTCTAGAGTGTACCTAAAAATTGCAATTACTTGCATGTTCTGTTGGGAAATTATGGTGACATTGTATATTTACCCTCTGTTTTCTTTAGCTAGATTCCTTGGCAGATATTAACAGAACAATCTAACAATCCTTAAAATAGATCTGCAGGATGAGTTGCATTTCATAATACACACAGCTAGGAAAACAGAGGCAGGGAGGCTAAGTGACTTTTTAAAACAGCAAACAGAGAAAGACTAACTTACAAATGTTTAGCAAATCAAACATGCTTCTCACTCTTTGAAACCCAGAACTTCTAAATTGCATTCAATAAAGCACATTTTCTTCACAAGTGATCAGAGGCATCATATCAAAGAAAAAAACATTTTCCCCATGTTATACAAATCACTACCATTTTGACTTCCTGTTTGTATTCCCTTTCCATTGTTTTGCATTAAAATGCTGATTTGTCCTTGAAATTGCTGGTGGTCCATGGAAAGTTTATAACATGTATCTCTGGACTGCATCCCTCTGAGCTTTGAATCCCAAACTCTACTGGGAACCTCTGGAGTTCATCAGTTAGCAAAGTGATTCATTGGTAATGATCTTGCTATTGATTGTGGTAAGCATCAGACACACTACTAATATGGGTCCCTCTTAGAGCTGGGGACCTCTGTTTGGGCCATACATTTAAGCTGTCTCTAGTATCTGCTCTAAAAAGGCTGGTTTGTATGCTATAACTAGGTAATAAGAATTACATAAATATCCTTTTCTTTCATCGCTTCTTAATTTAAATAAGAGAGGGAATTTGTTCATAAAGCATGGTGCAGTTTTATTTAGTGTACGTTCCTGAGCTCTGACTTGTGAGTTTACCCAAAAAGCAGGTTAGCTCTTTTCAAATGATCCATGGTAAGGTTTCCCTTCCCTTCCCTTCCCTTCCCTTCCCTTCCCTTCCCTTCCCTTCCCTTCCCTTCCCTTCCCTTCCCTTCCCTTCCCTTCCCTTCCCTTCCCTTCCCTTCCCTTCCCTTCCCTTCCCTTCCCTTCCCCATTGGCATGTAACATGGTGTCTACTGTCATTCCTGATGCATAGAATTATCTTTAAGGTGCTGCTAATGAGAAATTCATCACCACTTGGCTGCATCAGTGCCTGTCAGGGACTGCCAAATGAAGGAGGGGATTAATCAGTACAGCTTTGCTCCAGGTTGTTGGAGGCATTTTAGTGCTGATGACCTAAAAATTTCTATGTGCTTAGGTTTGAAAAGCAGGGCAGTAGTTCGCTTTTCAGAAAAGTGACCAAATGCCTTTTCTTTCTACCTATTCTTTCTATCCCTGGAGCTTGAACATGGGATATGTATTAGACTTTTCATTTTCACCCCACTATATTATATACTTAGACCAAATAGGTCCACTTCAAGAACTGCTACTCTACTGAGCACAGGGCACCCTCCTTTCAGCCTTCTAAGTATATCTCTGACACTAGTTGCTTTTTGCTGCCTCTTAGGAAGGCCTTTACCTAAGTTTCTTACCTATTATCAAAGGTGGGATGTGTATTGCAGGTGTATCTTTTCTTCTGGGCTTTTTCTGCTCCAGTTCAGTGATTTGAGAGACTGGAGACCCTCTCTCTCTCTGTGACTTCTCTGGGATACCAGACCTTTTCAGCAGATTTTCAGATGAGGCTGAAACTATGCCTGTAAGCAAGCAATAAAGAAAATGCTACTTTAGCCTGTTTACATTGAAGAAGCTTCCACCTGTGTAGCTCTCCCAAAGACTACTCTGAAGTACAGTGGCACAACTACATTATCTACTGCATGATGTACCTACCCTACATTTTTTTCAAATAAATTATTTCCCATAGGCTCTAGAAAATTATGCTATTAGGCCAGCTGGCTTCTGATTATATATAATGCACTAAAAATCATGGGACAGATGAGTGTAATCTCCTATTCCAGAACTTTAGACATCTTAACCACAGTAACTTAATCACACAGATGCTCAAGAGGTTAGTTGGGAGCAATATGACCACACAGAAGAGGCTGTTTTAACTAGTGAAAGAATGTTTTCTTTATGATAGGACAATTGCAGGAGGAAAACACAGCTCTCCAGCCTCTGAGATGCTCTTCCTAAGAGAGAATTGCTGATGGAAGGTACATGTGAAAACTGAACAGAATCAAATATCTGGATTACAAATACTGGAAAATCCCAGTGCTTATTTTTGACTTGGTGAATTGTTGCAGATATACAGAGAAACACACCAGTAGTTACTGGCTAACTCCCCCATGTATGTGCAGCATGGGAAGAAGAATTCAATAATGTAAGAGCACAGCTCTCTTGATGGAAATTATAACACTGTGTGTTCGTTAGCTGAGAGTGACAAACATTTATTCCCACTGCTGTTTTTAGATCATTAAGTTTCAGTAGCAGTCTCCTGCTTATTCTTCCCTTCTCCAGGTTGGTGGCATTTGGGTCTCAAATATCTGTATTTGTGCCACAGTAGGGAGCATTCCACAAGAAGCCCCTTCATTGCTGTGATGTTTTCCGGCTTCCTGAAACACCCTTTGCCAGAGTCCCCCATAAACACATGATCCCTGTGATTTCCAGGAGGACCATCCTGCAGGTGGCTTGTGTGCTTGACTGATCTACTCCCAGTGTCAGACCCAGCCTCCTGCTGTGCACTGGATGCAAATTTCATGGGAAAGTGCAGGGGCTGGACTTGATCCTTTTCTTGATTTTGGACCATATCCTATTGGGACATCTAGTATGGCTCAGCCGCTGCCAATACATACACATAATATCACACAGTAATGTAACATCATTTATCAGCAAGTCTATGAGATCCATGGAAGCAGGTTTTTCAGAGCATAAACCTATCCACCTTGGTATTCCCAGAAGTGAGACCAAACCCTTCAACTAACATGGAATATCTTTGAGAAAGAGACTTTCTGTTCACCTGCCTTCCCAGGTGCACATGCAGGAAGCTGTGTTCCTGTCTGCATCCAAGGGGACATAACTGTTTGAACGTTCCATGGACTTCCATCCTTCTCCAGTCCCCAGACATGACTTGGGATTTCAAAGTCAAGAGATTTACTGCTCACCTGTTAGAGGTGGTGGAGTGTGCAAAGCTGGTGTATCTTTTCTCTTTGGCTTCTTTTGCTCCTGTTCAGTCCTCTGAGAGGATGTGAGAGTTTTACCTTTTCTTGGTTTGTTTTTGAGGTCACAGCTCTTAATCAGCTGCTCTGAAAGATCTTCTGCAGGGAAAAATATAATAGAAATTAAAACTTAGGGGAGATAAAAAAACAGATAGGGAAAAGAATCACTTTGATAATAGTGCTTTAATTCAAATCCCCAGGAAAAAAAATCTCTTAAATATTTAGAAAGCAAACAAAAGAGGGCTCTGCACCATACTACATGGGAGTCAAGTGACTTAGGAAGTCTTTCTGTGTTGTTGGCAGTACCCATAAAACAAAGAGAGAGAGTTGTGGGCAGCTTGCGTGTTTAGTCAGAGGAGAGGATGCATCACTGTGTGCAGAGGTTCCATAGCCACCCCTGTTTCATCCAGTGGTAACTGTGTGGATTGTATCTTCAAGAATTACAAGGCCAGTTCTGTGAAGGAAAGTTTTACATATATAGGGTTGGTCTGAGCTATTTGTAAAATTAGCCAGTCAGTATTGTTCCCTTCAAGAGTTAACTTTATTTCCAGAGCTAATGAGCAATTGGTATTTGCTTTTTATTTACATAACATGACACTGGATTTTTGCTTTTCCTTTAAAACAATCCTTTACTCAGATCACCCAGAAGGTCAACATGACTTTTTCTGCAAGGGTCTGTATTTCTGGGTGCTTAGGCAAGCTGAAAATACAGAAGATAGCTTGTTGTGGTAGTAAATGCCTCTCCCTCAACTCCTCTTTAGGCCTGCTCTACAATCTCAGCAGCTTCTGATAAGCCTTAGTTGAATCAGCTGAGTGATTAAGTGCCCCTTAACTGTGCCAGTTGGGCACTGAAGCATCTATGACCATACTGGGTGCTCTTGTATAGTAAAGGTAGGAACTATTCTGACCATACCAGGAACATGAGCAGTCTGACCAAAGTAAGGAACAAAGCAGTCATTCTTATTAGCTTTGGTAAGTCATTTACCCAACTGAAATGATACCATTGTTATGAGACTTTTTGAAAAAATTAATCATAGCCTCAGTGTAATAGTACTATTTTTACTGGAATTTTTTGGAAAAATCATGTTATAATGCTACAAACAGCAGTGCAGCAGCAAGGAGAGCTGTTTGAGCTCTCCTTGAACACAGTGGGCCTCTGAGTAGGATGCCTCTTGGAGCTTGCATACCATCGTTTGCAATACTTGCAAGACTGTTGCTGATAACAAGGTCTGGGCAGATACCATCCCCACACATACATACTCCTTGAGGTGCAGCCCACGCTGGTTGAGAAACACTAAGAGATTTGATATGAGTACTGTACTGAGCCTGACAGGAATTTTTGATAGGTACCTTTTTCATGTGTTCATGGAAGTGAATAGATCATGATACGAATGTTGTTATTTTGAGTATATAATTAACTCACTGTTATAATTGTAGCAAATCTTATTGAATTATTTTTCAAATATTAAATTAGTCAATGATTAAGTGCTTTTGCACCCTTTTCTTACATCCATATCCTCTGCACCCTTACCCTCTTGCATCCCCAGTCTTCATGTAAATCATTCCAACTTGCTTCTAATCCAATTATGTATGCTTTGTTTACATAGTAAGTAATAGAATGAACTTTGCCACTTAACTATGTTAAAGCTGCATTCTCATGAATTCATACTAAACCCTGCTTTTTGCCAATAACCTTGACGATGATTCTTTAAGCATTTTAACCACTCATTTGTGAACCTGTCATTAGTATCATCACAGAAACCAATGTTTTGAATTATTAAAAGCAGCTTGTTTGCCTTCAGCTGGGCTCCCCACATTGTTACCCAGCCCCTGGCTGCAGACTTGCATGCAAGCACAACTTCATTCCAGGTTCTTTCACACTCTTTAAGGCAGCTGTTATGTCTGTGAGCCTGCAGGTAGATGTGGGAAGGATGGCCTCTGGGTTAAGTCCCTGGAGACGTGGGGGTTTTTTTCTGACCTTCACAGGCTTTCTTCATAGTCCTAATGAGATCATTTACCCTCCCATTGCCTCTGTTTTCTAACAGTATAATGAAACTAATTCTGAACATATTTAAATAAGCAATTTTATGAACTAACTATGGTATACTAGCAGTTGTAAAAACAGTGTCTGTGGCTAGAAATGCCATGTAGCAGAGACAGAACTAGGATACCTTTCTTGTAGTACTAATAAACAAAATCTATAAAACCCATGGTGAGACTTTTTTTTTTACTAGGAAGTGAAATTGCATTTGTCTTTCATTGTTGAGGTCACAAAGGTAACAACAAGACAAACAGATTTTTCTTTCTGGGTTGCTAAATCTTCAGGACAATTTTGTAAGATAAGAGCGAAATCATAGCACTAGAAGCAGAGGCAAAGACTATGAATAAGCAAAAAGCTTATCTATCAAGCATGAAATCTAGTATTCTGGAGTGTGACAGAGCAAAGACAATCCTAGTATGCTCATTGTGAAAGCTGTATGAAGTAGCTTCACGAAAGGAAACTGATGAGGAAGGAGAAAACTGTGGGAAAGAGTGAAGGAAAGATGATTTTCAGAAAGCTGGAAAAGCGGGCCTGAGAAGGAGAAAGAGCAGAGAAACTTAGAACTAGCTACAACTGCAAAGTCTGAAAGTAGAAAAAGTTACAATAGTATAGCAAGCAAGTACATTAAACAATAGCTTGAGTTTTAGGCTTGGCTAAGATAGACCTTAAGACTGCAGAAAATTGTGCTTACCAAGATAGTAGACAGCTTTGAGCTTAATAATGGTCTATTGTGTATTGTTAATAGAAAGGAGACAAGCAAGCATTGTGTGAAGCAGGTGTACATGTACTTTTAGTAATTGGCTAAAACAATTGTCTGTAAGCTTTAGCAATACACTATTGGCTAGGAAGTATTTTAAATGCTCTGTAACAAAGATGTCTTTGGCTGTTGCTGGCAGTACATTGCTGGCAGAGCTTTTGCCATCTTTCTATTGTCTCAACCATGTAAGGAGGCTGCAGGAAAAGCTCAAGGAATGTTTCCCAACAGTCCTGCTCCATTTGTGAAAAGAAAAAACTTCCCAACACAGAAAACATTTTCAGAAAGTTGTCTCAGTGATGGCAAATTGAATGCTTGAAATCTTTTACTCAAATTGCATATGGAAGATATATTCAGGGAAAGCTCAGCTATATCCTAACTTTCCATTTACTGTAGTATAAATGAAGAAACAGCTCTACCAGGGAAAAGATCAATGACTCTTTTTCCTTTCTCCTCTTTAATTAACTTCACTCTAGAGATGCAGCTGATATTTATATGCAGAAAAAGTGCTCTTTGTCTTTCCATCTGGCACTAGAAGTGTCAGCAGAAGGTGTAATCTATCTGTTTTCATGGGGGGTTAGTTGTATTGCTGGACTTTATTATGTGAAGACAATACCCCTCATAAGAGCAATGACATCATCAAATAACACTTACCTAAATGGTTACACTGTGGATCTTGCTTGTCCAGTCTGTCATCTGGGATATCAAGTGGCTGAACACATTCTGTTGACATCATTGAAACTGCTTTTTCTCCTCCTATGAAGATACTACACCACATTAATGAAAAAAATTTTTAAAGAAGTTCAGCAGCATGACATAAAACAAACATATTGGTTTTACTTAACAACTGATGAAGAGTTCTTGTCTTCCAGCAGTCTGCTGACCTGATTTTTCACTCACACATGGTGTGATTCACTGCCTTGGTTACACACACAGTAATCTGTTTCTCCACCTACCTTTCTGTAAGCAACCCACACTAGCATAGGTTGACTCTACAGAAAAACATACTTTTTTTTAAGCATACAGAAAGTGCTATCTCATACACAAAGTAAATGCTAAGGAAGAGGATGTTTTGTTTTGGTTTTCTTCTCTACTTTTTCTCAACAGTAAACTAAGGATCATATTTGCTATTTTTTATATGAACCAACTTTAATCATTAATTCTGTTGACTTGGTCTTTCAAGTCCAGCTTCACTAAGATACCTTACATACCAGAAAAATCAGGTGTAAAGTGCTGCCTCAGAATGATGGCCAGTGCTCACAGATCCCAAAGCCATCATGAAGTAAACTTACTCATCACTTTGGTAAGACCATGGGAACCCATTTCTTGTAGCTATTTAAGTGTTCATGCTCTGTAGGTCTCACTGGATTGCTGTTTGGGCTATTTTGTCTCCCTTTACTTATAGCTGCAGTGGGTGTGGAAGCCCATCCTCACCCACCCTCCTACCTGAGCTTCCTTAGCACCTTGCAAGCTGATACTTGATCCTGGGGCTGCCACAGATGCCACCATAGAAAGAAGAAAATTAGACCATTTTTCACTGCTGATCATTTCTATTGTTGCTTAGCAGAAACTCATCAGAATGACAAAGGCAATGTTAAAGGGAAACAGCCTTCAACCTGAAGGTGCAGTCCAAGTGATCTTGGTATTTGCTTTGATCCAGAAACAGCTGTGGTAGTTTTTTATTCATAACCTCCCTTCTCCATTTTCAGGGAATAAGAGCAGACTATGACTTCCTTGTAAGGAGGAGAAAGGCAATGAGGAAAAGAAAAAAACTGGAGACATTATGAATAGAAGATTAAGGAAGTAATTGAGGAAAAAAAAAGAGGAAGGGGAGGTAGAGAAGACAAGGCAAAAAAAAGAGAAAAGTAAGAAAAGAGGCAGCTGCAGAATAACAGTGAAAAGGAGGATGGGAAAATAGGAGACTAAACTCTGGGAGTTTGGTTTTATCTTGCTGGGGAAAAGAAATTATTTATTATTTCTCTGTAAATTACATTGGTTGTTTGCTGACAAGAGACAAAACAGTAGGGGAGTTAATCTCATTTCCATGACTAAACTTGCATCTATGTAAAGAACAATTAACCCTTGAATAAAGTATTTGCAAAAGAAGGTAGGAAAGGTTGCACTGATGTAGTTCTTCAGTGGATGGAACACGTCTTAAATGACAGTGACTTACAAATAAATAGAATAACGCTGTTGTTATGATTCTATGTGGTGGTTTAGATAAGCCCTTGCCTTTTGCCCAGGCCTCTGACAGTAGGCAGTAGCTTTATTGAGGTAGCCAGTGCCCCAAAGCTCACTCTCATTCACAAGTTCTTTAATATAGGCTGATTCGGTCTATTATAGAATGAATTTTTTATTTAATAGACAGAAAACTAACAGACATAAGACTTAAAACAAAGTAATACTACACAGGAATAAAGACAAAAAGAAAAAAGACTACTAGTAGACATATACAGAGCGAGGTTAAAGGTACCTATTAATGTTACAGCTAGCAAAGAAATAATATAACTTAGGATTCAATGTATCTTACCATCCAGTTGGTGATGGGACACAAATCATGATCCTTTCCCTCAATCCTCAGGAATTTAAGTACGGATTTGAGTCCATAGTCCTGGGAAAAATCTCCCACAATTTCAGGGTGTGTGTGTAAAAGGCTTCTACATCTGTGATAACTCATATGTCTTTTACAGTTTGTAAAACACTGTCTCTCAGTCAAGAATATTTCCTTTATCTCTTCCCACATCTGCTCTCTAGACTAAGATGCTGATTCTTAGCTGATGTCTGAGTACTTTTGGTACCAGGGATGACCTCTTGCTGGGCCTTTCAGCCCTTAGGTTATCTCTATAGACCAACTGTCAGTGGTAGAGAGGAGGGTGGGATAGATGTCCTGCCACCACTGGCTGGCAGCATCAAGTTTGACTCAACTCATGTCAACATCAAAAGTTAACATTGACTGATATTGTACATATGGAATTAATTCCCTTATGTTTCACTATTTAAAATGTACAAAAATTTGTAATATTCTACAAATTATTAAGATCTTACTGAATCAGGCCTTGATGAGGGATTTCACCTCCGAATGTTCACTATAGAAATGTCCCAGTCCAGCCTCACATCTGTACTAAAGTATTACACTGGCTGAAGGCTCATTTGCCTTCACTACAAGAAAAATCCCTCACTTAGGAAGACACTAGAGAAAGAAATCTTTGAAGGCACCTTGAATGGTTGCTCGATTTATTCACTGTATAAGTAAGCTATAGCTGTGGTTTAAAATAAAGCAGACATAATTTTATTTAATACAAAACTTATCTGTCCTTTGAAGGCTTGCACTACATTTTGTGATTTGAGGGTGTGTCGGGTTCGGCTGTCTGTCTCTGCCCCGACACGGGTAGAGTGGTTCTTGGGTGGCACGCGATGCAAAGGACGAGTCTGGACTCTTCAGCTTTTCGGTCTTCAGGTTGTTTATTATTTCTTATCTACAAAATTTTCTGTCTGCCCAACAGAGGTCTGATCTGCAAGCAGTCACAGGCACTCTCTGACCACCCACGGGGCGGTCATGTCTTTTTATACTAAAATCTACGTACACAATATTTACCTTTATTTCCCAATGCTTTTCACCCATGTTAGCAAGTGCACCTTCACCATAAACCAATCTCTAAGTGCCAACATCATCACAGGAGATGGAGGACAAGAAGAAGAAAGAAGAAGGACAAGACACGCCCTGATCCCTCCATCTTGTCTCCATAACCCCCCTGTACCAAAAACCTTAAAGTCTATATCTCACCCTCTAAATGTGTCTCTTTTACACCTTGTACTCTAAAGTGATTCTCTTGTCCTCAGACTCTTGTTACTTCTGTGGATGGATCAAAATCAAGCCACCAAACACTCTTGGCAACATTCCAGGATTTTCGAGACCCCCAAGGGTTCTCCTGGCATCTCTGGACATCGGGAACGATGTGCTGAGATCCCACAAGGGTGTTTTATTGTTTTGATGCCATTTGATTTTATTGGATTTGATTAGGGCATGCTGGCTAAATATTATGACTGTAGGTAAAAATGTTCTTTTCGGAAGAATACTCTGTTTACAACGTTTTCAGTGAAATCAGGGATATTATTTCAGACACTATGGACATTTTTGTTTTTAACATGTCTTGAGGCAGAAAAGGCTGGGGATAGATAGCAAAATTTAAATGTAAGATTGGTAGTAAATTATATTTAGTGGAAATAGCTTATAAAATATGGTTAAATTTGGTTAGATTTCAATACGTTGTTTCATTGAATTATTTCACCCAATAAAAATCAAGCTTTGTAAAGAGACTTAATATAGGATTGCTTCATTATTTTTTCTTATTATGGTAGTTTGGATAATATTATCTAAAATACATCTCTTTGGTCTCTGTTTATATTTTCACTGTCACACATGCCAAGTACTTGGCATCTTCAGTGTTTTAAAATTCTGGTTTACAGGCTAACTTATGGAACTCCCCTTCTATTTCTTTTCTTTTGTAAATCTGCCCTGAAGCTAGCATTGCCTTGCTTACTAAGCAAGCACTGCACTTTGTGACAGTCTGTGTGACAAAAGAATATAAAGATAAAAATTGCCAAAATATATAATGGATTTTGGTATCTTGGGTGTATATACATTGTGTATGACGTGTGAACCTGTGAGCGCTGTTACATCCTGTCATCATGGATTACACACAGCTCTCCTTCAAAGGAAAGTTGCTGCATGTGATCATTGTTATGGTGCTTTCCCAAACAACTCAAATCAGTTCCTGACACTAAGGAAACAGATTCCCCAGTAATATTTTATGTGGGAAGGTAGCCTGCTATAGGGGCTGTATGAAGCCATTAATATGGCTTTACAAATTGAAGCATGTTCTCAGATTTTCATGCATTAAGTGCAACAGTTTTCATAGCAGCCTTCACATTAGTGTGGTTTGCACTCTCTGCTGCCATCAGTCACCTTGGTAGCAAATGCTCTTCATGTGATGAAGTAAAGTGTTTTTTTCTTGCACCCTGTTATGTCTCTTGACATAATGATCCACATTCATCCTTTGTGCATCTGTAATGGTTACATTGGAGGGCTACTTCACACACAATAGAAGACACTTCCCGAGATACCACAGATTTTCCTGTATGATTTAGGATTCAATTGTCATTTAGCCAGAGACTTTGGTACAGTGCAGCTAGGCTGTACCACCTTCTTTGGAGATATGTGCCTAAATGAGTCACCTCAAGTCTCTAATTTCTTGGAACAGAGAGAGCTGATAAGGACAACTGAAATGCTTACTTAAAGCTGAGGCAAGTTCTAGCTTTGCCTACATGGTTTTGCTTGTTAAAACTTTTGGCATGAGATTGGATTGGCTCTACTTATAATCAGAAGAGGGCAATGAATGATAAGGCAGACTGAAAAGTCCAAGTATTACTAAAAGCTGCTTCAGCCTAATGTTAATGAAATCTCATGCTGCATCACTGTCATATAACAGCATGACTCCCTTAGGCACACACCCTTGTAAGATATGGTGATTCAGATGAAAAATACCTGAACTTTTCACTTTCTGGATATCAGACTTTGGGATTTTTAGATAGGTTAAAGCACATACTAATTTTTTTTTCAAAATTCTCAGTTGTTGTACCCACTGGATTAAAGTGCCCAAATAAAGCTATCTTATCACTCACTAACATAGTTCTAAAACACACAAATATTTGCAAGTATATGATTACTGTCTTTGC